TCCACTATTTATTTTATGAGAAACTTTTATTTTAATTTAATTTTAAATTCGTTTCCTAATTACAAATTTTTTATTATTTTTAAATAAGCCATTTTTTGCACTGTATGGCTACAAGGCTTTCTACTACGAGCTTCACGTACCGCGAACTCTATGCACTACACGTCAAAAATTTGCCTTAAAATTTGTTTGAAAGAAATTATTCATTCACCCACTATAACTTATGAATTGCTTTGACATGCCTTTCTCTTCGCCCAACGCACACCAATGCTATTAGCCGCTATTATAAGAAGTAAAAAGAGAAGTAGTGAAGCCAAAAAAATTTTTTCTACGTAGACACAAAGAGGGGCTGCGTCATCATTACATGAAAAAAAATGCCCAAAATAGCTAAAGTACACCATTGCCGCCAACAACAAATTATGTGTGCATTTTAAAATAGTACAGACCGGCCGGTAAAATTGGTTTTCTATTATTATTATTATGATTATTATTCGGGTTTTCCCCTCGTCTTTCTCGTTTCTTTAAAAACATGCGCTGCTGCTGGTGATGCTGCTGCTCTTCCACACGCAATGTTGATTGTTGTTAAGTTTCTTATTTTAATGTGATACTGTTGCACCACCTTATGTGTGCATATGTTGCTTGGAATCACTATGTTCTCTTTTTTTTTGTTTGCAGTTTTGGCACTGTTTTGTTTAGTTAACATGTTGACAGCAATGTTCACAAAAACGACAGATAGTTGAGGGAAATATTGCCGCACAAATTTATGAGTCTGGACATGTGTGATCTCGTGTAACGTCAAAAGTGTAGCAAATCTATAATTCAAAGAATATTAAAACAAAAACAAAAAAACATCTTCATATATTCTGTGCAGGAAAAAGTGATCAATAATAAAATGGGAAGTGAGATGAAAAGCTTGATTAGGACATTGAAAATTATATTGTGAATAGAAAGATAACTGTACAATTTCGGCCCCGCTTCCTTTCAACGAATTTGTTTCATTAGGAAATTCAATTCAACACTTTCATTTCGAACGGCGTGAAGAGAGTGAAAACAACAAACGTAACTAGAGTAATTATGATTTTGCGAGGCATATTTCTCTCATGGGTGGAAAAGAGCGAATGAAAGAAAAAATCCTGTGAAAACTGTTACATGCTCTGAGAACATAATTTTGTTAGTTTTTTCAAATGCAATATTATCACAACTCGCCTATCTCCCGACTATTGGAAATTAACTATTATCAGTGCGGTAGGAAAAAAGTTTACACTGGTTTCTCTAGATGATTTCTGCCACACAAGTGTTTCGTATACTCTCTCCAAAATTTTCCATACATTTATTAATCAATCAAATCGCAAAGCAAAAGCAATCCAATAATATGCTGTACCCGAGTCATTCATAAAAAAATCTCATTTCTGAAAGATATCAACTCTGAATGAAAACATTAATTCAACTACCTTAGCAATGGTACATATTTCTGCAAGACATTAACCTTGAATATGAAAACACTAACTCAACTATCTTAGTAATGATACATATTTCAAAGGCAATCAAATTTTATTAGCAGAACAGTTGAAGATTTTCTTCGGCTTTGATTCTACGGCGACGCGGCTTGTCCAGTCTTATCTGGTAAACCAGTTTCAACGTATTTGCTTTCCCAATTTTTTCTCAGATATAAGAGAAACTGATTCTGATATTTCGCAAAGTCCTATACTGGAGACATTTTTGTTTAGTTACTTCATAAATGATGATTATATGTCGTCACAAACATAATATCCATTTGTATGCTGACAATGCGTAAATCTACTTAGTCAGGCAAATCACATGAAGATTTAGAGTGGATTAGATAGTAATAATAAATAAATTGTAATAATATATAATAAAATAAATACTAATGACAATGGCAATATCAATAAATAATTTATCTAAAACCAAGGTGTGGTCATAATAGCACCAAACTATATTATGAATTTCCTGGCAAGTGTCATACTAGCTGGCGCGGGCACAGCGCATGTCAGAGTTGCGGCAAATCTTAGATTTAAAGTTAACTCTAGGCTAACAGCTGCAGACATGTCAACTTGGCATTAAGGGGCATACTTAATATTCTAACGAAACGTTAACTCCCCTCACGCTTGCAATTGAAGCTAAATTAAGTTGAATTAAATGTTTACTGTTGTTCTTGATATCAATATGGCATATGGTAACCTCGTCTCTGTTTCTAATAGAAACTATAAACCGTCATAAATAAGATTGTGTCTTATGCCAACAACAAATGCAAACAGAATATCAGAATTCTCCTTAAAATCATTTTACAAAATTACTTAAGTCGTAAAAACTTCATTTTTCCATCGCTTACGTTACAAAGATATATTAAGATTGTACGGGGGGACTTGAGGTGGACCCACTTTTTATCATAGTGATCGATTGTGAAAAAATGATTTCTGCACAAAGCTAAGCCCGTGTGTCCCTCTGTCCGTTTTGCTTTCTTGCCTTTACCCTGTAGGTCTGCCGACATGTTTTGGACAAAGGGCGACCTCTTTTTTAAATAGTTTGGAACAGATCACTTTTCCGGCCGTTTCACAAGCAATAGCTTTTTTGAAAAGTCGCTATACGTATAACTGTAAGCTGGTATATGCTATTTAATGTTGTAATTCGTAAGACAGTTGATGGAAACATTCCAAGATATTTTCCCGATAAATTTCATTGCGTAATACGACGAATCTATTACTGCTAGACCACAGATGTTTAACATTGTCAAACCTGTTTCTTATTAGCACTGTTAAGATATGAAATTCCTTACCGGTTGGGATCAAGACCATTATTACTTCGCATAGGTTTGCAATTCAAGTTAATATTCTCTGTAGCAGTTCGTAAGTTGATGTGCTTGTAACAACTAAGAATAGTCGGACTCACTTCGTATTATGTTGAACACTTTATATGATTGCATCATTATGTCTTATTGAAATCTTCTATTGATATTGTTTACTATTTTGCCTTCTGTTGTGTTATTTGTGTTGCACTAAGAGAGACATTGCGTCTTTGAGTATACAGCGTTCGATTCGATCGAAAATAAGTAGTACTCTAAGGCTAAAGCAGTTCAACGTCCTATTCTCTAAAATTATTGCATATATTTCACGGGAAGAAATATTTCGTCTTATTAGTGCAATAACAACCTTTTCACAACTTATTGTTATATGCGTCATTTAAATTACATGAGATTATATATATAAAAAAATCTGCATTAAAACTAGCCGATTTAGTTTATTGCTATGTAGAGCATAGAACACGACAACCAATTTGCTTTCAAAAAGGTTGTTGCCATCTGTAATATGATACAATAAAATTTATTACTGTAGGCGTGATTTTGCCGGCATGCGATATAGGCCATGATAGCAAAGTGGGCCTTGCCTCACTGTAGCGTTTTTACTTGTTTCGTTTATTTATTTATTCATTTTTTTTTTTTTTTTTAATTTTTTAAAATGGAAGACTTACGATGTAAGAAAAGATTCGGTCATTGCCGAATTTCCACACTTAATGCACTTCATATTAGAGTCAAATTACATATATAAATTTCGATTAGTTCAATCTCTTCTTCTTTCACTTTTATCCATTGTAATAACCTATTCAGCATAACACAAAGTAATATCAAATTAATTGATCTTAAGCGATACCAACTTGGTTCTTATTCAGTAAAACTTGGTCATTAAATGTGTAAACAACAACATGCATGCAATCCTGTACATGAACCAAATAAATTTAATTAAAACACAATCACGTGATAAATCATTATGAATATAGTAAGCTGCGAAAATCGATTTGACATTTTCCTGAAAGCACAAGTGAATGTGATTTCCTATTACTACATTAATCGAAGCGAATAAATGCCTCATTCATCCTCAGGAATTGTAACGTAATGACTGCATCGTACGGCACACAACTCACAAGACCAAGCCAATGGAGTCAGATTGCTACCTGAAAGAAGAAAATACAAATAAGAAAATCACCTCTTGGCAGTGATCGAATATTTCTCCTTCTCCCAACCTTTATCTTACAAGAAAAAAAGGAAAAAACGAATAAAGAACATTGGGTGGGAACAGTTTGAGTGGAAACTTTTACTGTGCATACATTTTCAATGCTAACATACGTTACGGAAGAGCTTCCAAAGTTTTCATCAATTTTGAAGCTCCCTTCTGAGCGCGTCTGAAATTTTACAACGGATATTAGATTGGTGAGCATTTGGACAGGAAGGCATGCCTAAATGGTTGAGTGTGGGCGATTTTTTTAATGATTGAGTGGCCAGATGAACAGAGAGACCAGGAGAATTTTTATCACCGACACTACACAGTCAGGCAGACTGACAGGCTTATCTCGATTTAGCATTACACGCTGATCAAAAATATATATATATATACTTTATAGAGTCCTCTGAAGTTTTGTTTTGGGTGTGGCAAACATTTTGATAAAATAAATATGCTCCCATCGTTCAGTGGTGGGTATAAAAATTGGGGGTTGTACGTGCAACTCAAAACCAGGTTATTGCATGAAACGATCATTAAATGAAATTCTTGGCATATTTCATGCAAGAAATCAAAACGCCATTTATATCACTTTGTCTGAGTTAATTAATTTACAGGTGGCGCCTGTTCAATTGGTTCAAGGTTCATTTCAAAGCAGCTTAACAACGGTAACAAATGCAACTAAACGATTCGTTTTCAAAATTGCTTAAATGAATTTCACAAAATAACTAATGCATGGATTGTTTTGTTTTTTTTTTTTCTTTTTTTTTGTTGGTGGCAACTTTCGGAAAATTTTTTGAAACAATTTTGAACAAAAAAGTGATTAGCATTTGCAAAACTTGTTAGTCAATTTTCTTCTAAGGAATTTGGGAAATATTTTAAAAAATTCCAAAACATTTGGATCTATTTTGCTTTTCTTGTAATTAGTTATTGAGCTCTTTAATAAACTTTTATAACAAATGATATAATAAAATATATATACATTTTTTACAGATCTATCAAATTTTCTATATCATGTTAAAATCAGCCAATTCGCCTCGACCCGCATCTTGGGTTTTGGAAAAATCTCTAGATGGCTTCAAGTATGAACCTTGGCAACACTTTGGTCGCTCTGATGCCGATTGCCGCCAACGTTATGGATTGCCAGGGCAGAATGGAAAATACATTTTCCAAAATGATAGCGAAGTCATTTGCACAACGCAATTCTCGAAGCCTTTACCTCTGGAAAATGGAGAATTGCACGTCTCTCTACTCAAGAATAGACCGGGTGTTATAGATCAATCTGACGAACTGATGAAGTTCATAACTGCACGCTTTATACGTATACGTTTCCAAGGGATGCATTCAACTGCGAATTTAGATAACAGCGTTTATTGGCAGCTGGACGCCCAATCTTTAGAAAAAAGAAGTTTCTATTCATTGAGACAAGTACGCATAAGTGGACGTTTAGATTGTCATGGTCATGCGGAGAGAACGATAGAGTTAGCTGAGAAGTATGAAGGGCAATTAGAATTTAATGGTCTCGAGTCCACACTGCAGTGCGTTTGCCAGCATAACACGTGCGGTGCGGATTGCTCGGAATGTTGCCCTTTGTTTCAGGACAAGTCCTTTCGTAATGGGAACACTCGTCATGCCAACGAATGTGAAATATGCCAATGTAATGGCCACGCCGAATCGTGCATCTATGATCAATATTTAGAGCATGGCATATGTCAGGATTGCTTTAATCATACAGCTGGGAATGAGTGTGAATTTTGCATAATGGGCTATTTTCGGCCGAAAGGAGCTCCTCCAACAGAGCCTTGTCGACCATGTGAATGCAATATGAAAGGCTCAAGTGGCGACTGCCATGCTGATGGTGGTTGGTGCATTTGCAAAGAGGGCTTCCAAGGTATACATTGCGAAGAGTGTGTTCCAGGTTATTACGGTGATGATTGTCGCAAATGCGGATGTGACACACGAGGCACTGTACCAGACACTGAATGCTCAGGCATCTGCGTTTGCAAATCAAACGTTATTGGAGAAACATGCAATTCTTGCAGAGAAGGTTTTTACGATCTGTCGTCTGACAATCCCGAAGGTTGTTCTCTATGCTGGTGTTCGCATCTAGGTTCGGCTTGTGTCAGTGCCGAGCTTTCTACTTTGGCCTTTGAAACGCTGAACGATTGGCGCATTACCGATATAACTAGATCTCAAAGTGTGCAGCCTACATTGGATACTCAAACAAACCTCCTGGTTTATGGTATGTATGAGTTATCCGATGTGGAAGCAATTTATTGGCAAGCTCCCCAAGGCTATCTAGGTAATCGCCTAACGAGTTATGGATCCCGTTTATCTATACAAATTCAATGGGTAACGATTAGAGGTGATACATCTGGTAAACCAACTTCTGGACCCGATGTAATAATTTTCGGTAAAAATGGTTTAAAAATAGCTTTTGGTGACGGAGAATTCACTAGAGGCTCTAATGCGGTTATTAATATAACGCTAGAAGAAAGCGGTTGGTATCACATTCCCAGCGACGTGAAAGATATAAAAACTCGTCTTAGACGTACCGAATACCATGGCGGTGAGGTAACGCGTTCGCAATTTCTGTCGGTCCTATCGAATATGGAAGCTTTACTCATACGTGCAGCTTTTCATACGGATCAGGTAGAAACGGCTTTAGAACGTGTTATTATTTTTACGGGCGGTATCGAACTGGGCGGTTTACCATCTACACGTGTTGAACAGTGCGTATGTCCGTCGGGCTATACGGGTTTGTCGTGCGAATCATGCGAATTCGGTTATATACGAACTTTTGAAAATTCGAGCGATCATCAGTTGGTAACACGTTGCAAGCCCTGCCCTTGCAATGGTCATTCAAATTCCTGTGATCTGCAGAGTGGTGGTTGCGGCCAATGCATGCATAACACCTATGGAGAGAGGTGAGTTAAAATGTATAACTAGTACACATATATTTGTACAATATTTGTTGACTATCCCTTCTGAGACTTTAAATGATCGTAATCGTATTTTCTTAGTCATAGATTCTCAATGTCATACATGCTTGAAAGTCTGAAGAGTTTTACCTAATTGAATGTGTCAAAGGTTAATATCGAACATTTAAAATCCCGCAAATTTTACGTAATAAGTCATGTAAGTGACTTTTGTTAGTTAACTGAGACATAGGTAACGATCGATGTTTTAAAATTAGGATTAGAAACTATGCGTTTCGATTATCAAAGAGCGGAAGAAAAAGAAATTTATGTTATTTGAAATATTTCTATTACGTTCATTGTCTTCCTCTTATCCTTTCGACATACGTAGAGTGTTTGTTCTTATACTGCATAGCAAAGCCAAAAGTGGAATGAAAGTTATCAGCGGTTATTAGCAGTAAAAGGCCAACAATTTAGAAATAAACATAATTTCTTTAGTTTCGATTCATTCATGCATTAAATAAATGTGTGAAGTGTGGAACACGTCAAGTGATTCACATTTTCTTTCTAATTATCTTGCCAGTTGTGGAAGATAAATAGAGGGGATCGTGCACATTTGTGGAAACTAAGCCTAATGTGGTATTGGTTTAAAGCTTAACTAAATCCTCAATTCTTTACATTTCCCCATTTTCCCATTGTAGGGGAAATATTAAGCAACCAAAACATGTGCTCCGGTATATTTCTATATAGTTTGCTCGCGATTTGTGCGCGCCCCCTTGTATTGAAAATCTTATTTATCATTTATCATATGCAAAAGCTTTCTAAATAAAGCTTTCAAAATAAAAATATTATGCTATATGCAGCCAAGACTACAATCTCAAGAGATTATCTATAATTGAATTCGGATTTTATCTCGCATTTTAATTAGAACATTACCTAGTGTATGCAAGTTTGAATAAAAGTGTGCGTTAGCGAACAAAATGTATGTAAATCATAACAAACGAAGCAAGAGGAAGAGACAAACTTCTTTTTGTAATCCATTAACAAGACTAAATGACTAAATGACTGTTAAATGCTTTTCTTTAAAAAGTAAATATTTTTGAAAAAATCTATACGTAACCGGTTGGTTTGTATGTAATTGTAGTTGTGTTTTTACATGTAAACGCTGCTTGCGCGTGCACTTTGGCAATCCTTCCAATAAGCTTTATAATATAAAGGTTATAGTTAAGCGAATGTATGCTGATTAATCAGCACACAACACTTCTCAATGACATTGTTGCATAACCTCGTGTTATAAGAAATTGATCGTAAAAATGGCAGAATGCAACCTTGTTTAATAGGGCTCATCAGTTCATGACCCAAAACACATCAGTGCACAACATTTCAGACTGATCAGAACTTGATGCTGATTCATTTGAGAAAGTTAGAAAATGACCCTGAACTTGTTTATGTTTCCCAAATCGCTCTGTTCGTATACATCCCCAAAAACTTAATACAGGATATATCGCAAGTAGTGTCGGTTATAAATTTTATAATAAACTTATTTAGCCCAATAAAAATAGTTATAAAAAAAAGATATAAACACTTTGAATGCAAAACCGCACCTTAGTTATGTAAAACCTTGGGGTACACTAATTGCCATAAATCGCATAATAATTTTATAGCGGAATTTCTCATGCTTTTTAATAAACGCACGCGAATTAATTCCGAGACCTTTCGTAATATCGCCTTTTCTGTGAAACACGGAATTTCAATAAAAAGAGCTATAAGATGCTTTTTTAACTATCTTAACCTTAGAAACGTTTTGTGATGTTTATTTGCTTACCTGCAAGCAGTTTGAGAAAATTCAACGGTAGCTTCTTCCTTATTTAAATTATTTACAAAAAATAGCAAAACATTAGAGAAATGACTGAGCAGCATTAATATCATCGCTGAGAGTAAACAGCTAGCAACCCCTTTTCATCGGCTGACATCACTGAAGGGGGTTGCCTTGCCCTTGCGGCTTTCAATTAACACTTTACCAACCAGTCATTCGGTCGCGCGAAATATCTGTTCAGTTCGAATTGCTTGTAGATCAAGGCAACATTCAATGACTCCTTATGAGACCCGATTTCTGTGAATAAGCCGACAGAGGCAATTACAAGTATGGCGTGGCATTTGATTTAACCGGCTTCTATATCTTTCTATATGTTCTGTGTACGTTAAGAGTGCGAATAAGTAGAAAATCTATTTAGGGAGTAGTCGAAAAAGTAATCCGGTTCGTCTTTGAGCCGAAGCACGTAAATGTGCCAAATTTGCTCAAAATTTCTCAAACATTGCGATCAAGAAAGTAAGGCGACCAGCTGTGATAGATTTGGAAAGACATTCAGAAAGTGCTTACGAATCTATCGGCATAATGAAAAGGTCCACTCGCCTCAAGTGCTATGCGCACAAGCTTGTTGTACCGTCGCTAATGTAAAAAAGGGTTTTTTTGAGGCTAAAAGTGATTTTTTAAGAAAATTCTTTCGTCTTTCCAGAAAAGTGTTCATAAATTTTTAAATGTTTCGAGCAGGAAATATTGTCATAAATTCCATTAGAAATTCCATTTATGGGTTGAGGTCATTGCATGCCCGAGCGGAGATGAGAAGTAGTTTTCCTCTTTATGGATAAGCTTGAATTTGTAAACTATCTGCCTCGCGTATATATGCCTGACAGCTTTGCAGCATTTTGACATAAACGAGAATGACAGATGATACGCTTTAGTTTTAATTCATTTTGTAAAACGGTTCCGCCTTTTTAGATGCGAACGCTGCTTACGCGGCTACTATGGGAATCCCCTGCAAGGAACACCCAATGATTGCAAGCCATGCGCTTGTCCTCTACTAATAGAAAGCAATAACTTTTCCCCAAGTTGCCAACTGAAGAGCTATACCATCATGGATATCAATCAAATTTACGGCGTGGTAGAAAATACGGAATACATCTGTACACAGTGTCCTACAGGGTACACAGGCGATCATTGCGAAATGTGTGATGACGGATATTTTGGCAATCCCACTGAGGCTGGTTCCACATGTCGACCTTGTGAGTGCGATGGCGATCCCTGCGACGTTTTTACGGGGGAGTGTATAACGTGTCGGTGAGTGAAGGCGATAAATAAATTTCTATTTAAAATTTGTATGACATTTGGGTTTCAGGGGCAATACTGAAGGTTGGCATTGCGAACGTTGTAAATTGGGTTACTGGGGAGACGCCTCAGTGGGTTGTGAACCTTGCGATTGTTATACTGACGGCTCCGACAGCGATGTCTGCGATAGTGCGGATGGCCAGTGTTTGTGCAAACCTCATTTTGCCGGTCAAAAGTGTGATGAATGCGCCGAAGGTTATGCAAACTTGGATTTGCAATGTCAACCCTGCGATTGTGATATTTATGGAGCCAAAGAATCAGATACCTGCGATCCCGATAATGGTCAATGCCTGTGTAAAACCGGAGTTATGGGCTTGAAATGCAACGAATGTGAAGAAAGTTATTACGATCTTCAAAAAGAATCTGATGGTTGTACGGGTAAGTTAATGAATGAAATGCAATTAATATTTTAAAGTGCAGCTCGCGAATGAAACGTTCTTCTTGATCAGTATTGCTTTTTCCCATTATAAATATTTTCATATTGCATTTTTCTGATTACTCGATCATGTTATGTCGATCGTTAAAGATTAAAGGCAGATGATCATTTTTCAAAAAAAAAAAAAAAAAAAAAAAAAAAAAAAAAAAA